CCAATTGCTAAGAGAAACAAGTTTGTTTACATTTACGAGCGATAATGCTGCTGGCTTCGTATTTACAATGTCACCTGAAAGTGAGAACAGGCGTTCGCATGGCACTTTTGTAGCCAGAATTGCAAGGTATTTATCTGCCAGATATGCTAAACATTCATATGCATTAATTAAATTTGTAACACAATTCTCCCCCAAGGAGTTCAATGTCCCCTGTTCTATGTTTTACCTGCATTCTGCCATATATTTCATGTTATAGTAGTCTCGGATGATGACCCAGCACATGTTGTTCATTTTAAGAACGCTTTCACTGCAGATTTGACAAAACACAAAGAAGGTAGCAATGTGAGATTTCTAAAGATAGCTACAGCACTCGACCCAAGATTTAAGAATCTGAGAGGGACGAGGTATGGAGCATGCTTTCAGAAGTCTTAAGAGCAACACTCTGATGAGGAAACTACAGCATCCGAACCATCAAAAAAGAAAATCAACCTTCTGCTGGTGGCATCTGACTCAGATGATGAAAGTGAATGTACATCAGTCTGCACTGCTTTGGATCGTCATCAGCATGGATGCATGTTTTCTGGAATAGTTGTTGAAGATGAAGGGACATATGAATCTTTAGCACATCTGGCACGTAAATCTCTTGCAATGCCAGCTACAACAGTGCCATGCGAACGTCTGTTCTCACTTTTGGGTGACATTGTAAACAAGAAGCGGGCAGCATTATTTCCTGCAAATGTAAACAAACTTGTTTGTCTGAGCGATTGTCTGAGTAAGAAGTAGGACTGAGTGGACTTGTAGGCTCCAAAGTTTTACATTTTTATTTTTGAATACAGTTATTTTTTTTAACATAATTCTATATTTGTAAGTTCAATTTTCATGATAAAGAGGTTGCATTACAGTACTTGTATTGGGTGACTTGAAAAATACTATTCAGCGCAAATATCTGTATTAAAAATAAAGTGAGCACTGTACACTTTGTATTCTGTGGGGTAACTGAAATCAATATATTTGAAAACATCAAAAATATTTAAATAAATGGTATTCTATTATTGTTTAATTTCTTTACAGCCCTAATTTATCGAGAGCAATCCTGTCTTCCCCCCCCCAGGCTTTGTTTGCTTCTGTGAGACAATCCATGGAATCATAGAAGATTAGGGTTGGAAGAGACCTCAAGAGGTCATCTAGTCCAACCCCCTGCTCAAAGCAGGACCAACACCAACTAAATAATCCCAGCCAGGGCTTTGTCAAGCCGGGCCTTAAAAGCCTCTAAGGATGGAGATTCTACCACCTCCCTAGGTAACCCATTCCAGTGCTTCACCACCCTCCTACTGAAATAGTATTTCCTAATATCCAACCTAGACCGTCCCTACTGCAACTTGAGACCATTGCTGCTTGTTCTGTCATCTGCCACCACTGAGAACAGCCGAGCTCCATCCTCTTCGGAACCCCCCTTCTGGTAGTTGAAGGCTGCTATCAAATCCCCCCTCACTGTTCTCTTCTGCAGACTAAATAAGCCCAGTTCCCTCAGCTTCTCTTCTTAAATCATGTGCGCCAGCCCCCTAATCATTTTTGTTGCCCTCTGCTGGACTCTCTCCAGAAAGGATGTGGACAGATTGTAGTGGGGGGGGGGGGGGCTCAAAACTGGATGCAATACTCCAGATGTGGACTCACCAGTGCTGAATAGAGGGGAATAATCACTTCCCTCAATCTGCTGGCAATGCTTCTACTAATGCAGCCCAATATGACATTTTCCTTCTTGGCAACAAGGGCACACAGTTGACTCATATACAGCTTCTCATCCAATGTAATTCCCCAGGTCCTTTTCTGCAGAACTGCCACTTAGCCAGTCGGTCCCCAGCCTGTAGCAGTGCATGGGATTCTTCCGTCCTAAGTGCAGGACTCTGCACTTGTTCTGGCTGAACCTCATCAGATTTCTTTTGGCCCAATCATCCAATTTGTCTACATCACGTTGGAGGGTAGGGATAGGGTCCAGAGTATCTACCTCTCCCCCTAGCTTAGTGTCATCCACAAACTTGCTGAGGGTACAATCCATCCCATCATCCTGATAATGAAGATGTTGAACAAAACCGGCCCCAGGACTGACCCCTGGGGCACTCCGCTTGATACTGGCTGCTGACTAGACATTGAGCCCAATGATCTAGCCAGCTTTCTATCCACATTTTAGTCCATTCAGCCAATCCATACTTCTTTAACTTGCTGGCAAGAATACTATGGAAGACCGTATGAAAAGCTTAGCTAAAGTCAAGATCTAACATGTCCACTGCTTTCCCCATGTCCACAGTGCCAGTTATCTCATCATAGAGGGCAATCAGGTCCTTAAGCTTAGGTCGTTAAGTTTCTTCTCGTAAGGTACATTCTCCATTCCTCTAATAGTAGCCCTTCTCTGTACCTGTTCCAGTTTGAATTAATCTTTCTTAAACACTGGAGACAAAAATTGCACAAAGTACTCCAGGTGAGGTCTCACTGCTGCCTTGTATAATGGTAATAACACTATCCTATCTCTACTGGAAATAGCTTGCCTGATATATCCTAGGGTTGCATTAGCCTTTTTCACAGCTGCATCACATTGGCAGCTCATAGTCATCCTTTGATCAACCAATACATCCAGGTCTTTCTCCTTCTCTGTTGCATCCAACTGATACGTCCCCAGCTTATATTAAACATTCTTATTGTTAGTCCCTAAATGCATGACTGTGCAATTTGAACTATTAAAATTTATCCCATAAGAACGGCCATATTGGGTCAAACCAAAGGTCCATCTAGCCCAGTATCCTGTCTGCCGACAATGGCCAATGCCAGGTGTTTTTAATGTAGTCTTGTAAAACTAGGCAAATATCTAGGTAAGTTGATATGCCCTTTGGAAGACCTCTACGTACCCCTGGTTGAGAACCACTGGTTTAGGTGTTAGGCCATGCCGAGATTATCTTTAATCTCCACTCCACTCCATGCTTAGCGTTCCTACTTCTTTTTCTTTTTATTTATATGGCTAAAGAACCTTTTACTGATGGTTTTAATTTCCTTTGCAAGGTCTAACTCTGCTTGGCTTTTGTCAGGTCTCACTTTTTCCCTTACACTTGCTGACCTCCAAGAGGTAGCTTTCCTTGCTGATCCATTCCTTGTAGGCTTTCTGCTATCTTTTAATAACATGTTTGAGATGCTTGTTCATCTAGTTTGGTCTGCAATCCTCCCCTATGAATTTTTTTTCCTATTGCTTGGGATGCAGACTTCAGATAGTTTCTGCAACTTTGATTTAACATAACTGCAAACCCCCTTCACGTTCAGATCCTGGAGTTCTTCAGTCCACTTCCTTAACTAATTCCTTTTAATTTTTTTAAGTTTTTGCCCTTTTTGAAATCCAGGACCCTAGCTGCTGATCTATTTTTGATAATTCAGTTTTAACTAAATGGAAGGATAAACTCACATTCACTCAAAGGTTGTACTCTACTACCAATTCTTTTATGAGGACCTTGCTACTTACCAATACCAAATCTAAAATGGCATCACGTCTTGTAGGTTAGTAACTATATGGTGAATAAATCTGTCAGCTATCCCATCCAGGAATAGCTGGAGCCTACCATTATAAGTAGCTTTTGTCCCCCAATCTATATCTAGGCAATTAAAGTCTCCCATAATCACACAATTCCTAGTAATATTTATTTAATTAAAAATATTAGAGGTCTCTATCCAAATCCAACCCTGGGGGTCTGTAGCAGACCAAGTCTAAATACAGTTGGAATACACAAGGGTGTAACTAGCTGATGCTGTGCAATTTAGAAGATGGACTGCTTCAAAAACAACCTGCCTAACCTTTAATAATCTAAGGTTGTGACAATAAAGTTAAAAATTAATTATGTATTTCACTGAAATTATTAAAACAAGTGGAAACTGATTGGTCTAGTTTTGTCATCCCCCACTTTCTGATTATCAGGCACTAGCACAATGCTCTTTGGCTTACCAACACTGCAGGGAAATATTTTAATCTTCCTTCACCCTGAAAGAGATCTTGGAGTCATTGTGGATAGTTCTCTGAAAACATCCACTCAATGTACAGCAGCAGTCAAAAAAAATTAACAGAATGTTGGGAATCATTAAGAAAGGGATAGATAATAAGACAGAAAATATCATATTGCCTCTATAGAAATCCATGGTATGCCCACATCTTGAATACTGCATACAGATGTGGTCGCCCCATCTCAAAAAAGATATATTGGAACTGGAAAAGGTTCAGAAAAGGGCAACAAAAATGATTAGGGGTATGGAACGGCTGCCATATAAGGAGAGATTAATAAGACTGGGACTTTTCAGCTTGGAAAAGAGACAACTAAGGGGGAATATGATAGAGGTCTATAAAATCATGACTGGTGTGGAGATAGTAAATAAGGAAGTGTTATTTACTCCTCATAATATAAGAACTAGGTGTCACCAAATGAAATTAATAGGCAGCAGGTTTAAAACAAACAGAAGTATTTGTTTCACACAACTCTCAGTCAACGTGTGGAACTCCTTGCCAGAGGACACTGAAGGCCAAGTCTATAACAGGGTTCAAAAAAGAACTAGATAAGTTCCTGGAGGATATGTCCATCAAGACTATTAGCCAAGATGGTCAGGGATGGTGTCCCTAGCCTCTGTTTGCCAGAAGCTGGGAATGGGCGACAGGGGATGGATCACTTGATGATTACCTGTTCTGTTCATTCCCTCTGGGGCACCTGGCATTGGCTACTGTCGGAAGACAGGATACTGGGCTAGATGGATCTTTGGTCTGACCCAATATGGCCGTTCTTATGCAACCCTCTGTTTTCACTGAAGTTGTATTAAAACATTGCTTTTTTATTAGATTTTTCTAAAACGTATACAAAAAGTTAAATGTTGGACCTGAACTAAATGACTGTCCATTTAAGATATGGGAGAAAAGGAATAGATTTAGTAGGCAAAGCAATGTTGTTTACCGTGCTTAATGTTTTCTCTCCCATGCACAGATACTGGGCAAACTTGAAACTTTGGTTCAAGCAAAAGATCAGTAAAGAAGAGTTTGATCTGGAAGCTCGCAGACTCCTCACCCAAGATAACGGTAAGAGACCGTCCCTAGGAGTGTCCCTTTTTCTGTCTTCCCACATTTCTCAAAATACCACATTCTGGGTTAGTTGCTGCTTGCTACACACCAATGCAACCACATAAAGTGTGACTACATAACTCCCACTGCTCCTCTAGAACTTGCCTCTTCTCTTGGGCCACATGATCTTACCACTGCTGAGATAAGAACCTTCTCCTTTGCAGCTCCTAATTTCATAGAGAGGCTAAAAACCTATGTAAAGGATATCAATTGGGAGGTGTATGCAGCCAGTGGAATGCATGGGAAAACATGGCTGTGGAAGGTGTAAACAAAATCACTTTATAAGGTAGCTTCAAGTGGCTGCCTTTGGACTTTGCCTGCCATGTTGCTAATGTGAATCTGTCTTCAAGTAAAACTTTCTCCCCTGGCGTCTGTCTGAGTGAACTCTTTCTTTTTGCAGTCCATTCTCACAATGATTTCCTCCTGGCTATTCTCACTCGATGCCAAATCCTGGTTTCTGCACCAGGTAAGAGAACAAACTATTAGTTTTTAAAAATAGATCATACAGCACAACCCTGGGAAGTGTTTATGGTGGGCTTTGTTTTTAAGCTATATGCTTGACTTATTTAGTCTTAAATTGTATGTTGTCTCTTATATGAGCTAGGTGCCATATGACACAGTGGGGATCCTGACTGGGGCCTTTAGTTACTATTGCAATATAAATATGATCATCTGTATTCTAAAATAAGGATTTCACACACTTGGCTAAAGACTAGTACTCTACATTGCCATGCAGGAGACCCAGGTTTGATTTCTAGTCTCATGCTTCTTTGGCTGTGAGTTCTGTAAGGTGGTGTGCTCTGTGCCCCACCAACCTGCAGCACCAAGTGAAGGGAGGATTTGCTCCATGTTCTCCAGCAATCTGCTTGGCATGATGTGAGAATGGTGTTGACAGCCTTGCGTCAGAAAGATTGAAACTCTGACTCATGGAGGGAGGCAGCACTAGGAGAGAGAGAGAGGGTTTTTTTTTTTTTTTTTTTTTTTTGCCCTGTCCTGTCCCCAGAGTAGAGGGGAGGACGGGAAGCTTCTAGTTGTAAAGTTTTAATTAAAATGTTGCCAATAAATTTAATATCCTTCTGTTAAGCCCCTGCAGCTATCACATTATGTCTGGTGTTATGCTGCTCTGTGGTGTCTAGTGAGTTTCAGTATTGCTGACACCAGAATGGATTTTGAAAGGATGGACCAAAAACTTAGCCACAAGACCGTTTGAGTGAAAGTGATTCAAACTGCAAATTAGAATACGAGTTTGAGACTGCTAGAAAGTTCAGGGACCGGCATCTTAGGGTCTTGTGCTGAGCCTGCTGTATTGTTTATGCTGACTGCATAATACAATCGAACCTGGCTAACTGAACACCAAAAGTTCTCCATGTAACTTCTGCAGCTTCTCGCTTGATTTTTTTTTTTTTTTTTTTTCTTTCTTCCATTGGGATGGCTGCAGCAAATACGTTGCACTTGGTTTGTTTTATCATCTAAACCTTCTGAATAAAACCAGACAGACTTAACCACAGCCCGACTATCCTTTCAAAAAGGACAAGGCAGAGGAGTGGGACTCTGCAGGTCTGGGTTCCATTTCCTAGGAGTGACACAGATGTTGTCATGTGTAACATTGGGCAGGTAGGGCTCAGGGTCTGGTCCAGGGGGACCTCAGCTCCTGTTTAGGCACCTAAATGAGTGGCCAGATTTTTTTTAATAAGGGTTTGCACAGCACTTGACAGCTCCGTCTGAGAACAATAGGAGCTGCTTGGTGCTGAGCAAGTACACTTAGAAAATCTGGTCCTTCATTTCTCAGTACCCCCTTATCCCCATTTTACAGCTGGGGAAAACACTTCTCCACCTCAGAGGAGTGATGTGAGGATAAATCCATAAAAAATTGGGAGGCACTTAGATACTACAGTGACAGGCGCTGTGTAAGTACCTAGACAGACAAAGCATCACATGAGTACTCTGTATTAATAATAAGAACCACGGTAGAGCTGCTCACATTCTGTTCCAGATTGCTGATTTCAGGGAAGATTCTTGTTAGACCCCTGAGGGTACTTAGCTTGTGGAAATTGCCTCCGTCAGTGTTTTTGTTCCTAGGAAGACTTTCAAGAACTGTGTTTTTGCTTTCACATGCTTGTGTTTTCTCCCCCAGGAAATCCTACTGAAATGTACATTCAGTTTATAGGGTCTCTGATGAGCATCTTGATGAGCAAAGCAATTAGTTGGTTTTTAGCTAATCCTGGCTTCTATAGGGCCCCAATTTCTTTTTCAGTAATCTTGGGCTGACAAAGACTTGGAGCTATAGTCATCTACACCTGAGACTGGATAACATTTTTTTATTAATTATTCAGGGTTGGCAACGCGTTTTGATTTAAGGGCCACCAAGTCTGACACACAGGGATGGGTTGACCATGTCCCATTTGCCTCCAAAGAGAGGAGGAGAAGTGAAAAGAAGAAATGTGTGAGAAAGAAAGAAATGGGAATAAAGCGACAGCTGAAAACCGAAGAGAGTGATCAGAGCGATTCTCCTAACCATTTGTCCGTCTCTCTTCTGGCCAAGAAAATAAAATACTGAAAAACAAATAAATTAAAGAAATAAACAGTATGGGCGGGTTCTTTTCTATAACCGATATCCTTGTAGCTTCATCTCTGTTAGTATGTTTCTTTTTCTCTCTCTGCTCTTGCTGCTGTATAATGTATGTTGGAAAAGTCGCAAATGCCACCACCTTCCTTTTGCTGGGGTTTGACTGTACTCTGCTGCCCCTATGGAAAGCAGTGCAAGCCTGGAGTGAAGCAGCTCTGTCCTCTTTCTCAGCTTGTTGCCTTTGTTAACAAGGCTAGAAGCTGGCTAGGTCTGCAGTGGATCGGTTGTCAAAAAACCCCTGCTAATGTGAAGTTGGCAAGTCTTGAACTGAACAGGAGTAGCCATTAAAGCGCCTCATGTGCTAATACTGCTCCCTTCAATGTGTGCAATAAGTACAAGCTGTGCTCTAGAAATTAGTAAAATGAACACATGCTGTCACTTATAACGCTACTTCTAAGCACCTCTAGTTATGGAAAGAGATGCAGTTCCTTAATATTACACTAGATGACAGCTACATCATATGGATTTGTGTGTGGTAACACACGTGCTCAAAGGAGCAGTTAATGTTGCTAGAGCCTCCTTGGCTCTGAATCTGCTGATATTGTTTCAACTTTAAAATATCCAGGCTTAACATTATATGAATCTGTTTGCATAAAACCTGATTGAGGGAATAGTGGCAGAAGGGCTTAGTAGCAACACATGGAATCATATCATCTGTCTATGAAGGCAGTACAACTGCACTCATCCTCTCTAAGTGCCTTGCCAATTCTAATGCATTTATTTTTAGAGAATTTCTGGCTTCTCCCTATTCACTAATAATTTTTTTAAATTGTTGGAAAAGGCAGGTTAGAGAGAGGTTTTATGCTTCAATCTGACAGCAGGGAGGTCTGGTATTGTTGATTGCTTCCAGGCTTGTGTTCCACACTTGAAATCAATCTGCTAAGCAAACTCTCTCTCTCTCTCTCTCTCCTCTCTCTCTCTCTCTCGAGGTTCCCAGTTGTAGTGGAATTCAGCTGTCATGATTGAAAAGAGTGAGAACAGTCCCTTAGCATAGCTGGGGTTACTTATATAAAGGCTTTTTTGAGGATAAGAACTGAAATCTTGACCTTGCTGCTGTCTTCAAGTCTGAGCTAATGCAAAGAACTATGGCTCTGTATGATGTGCTCTTGGTAGCCTGTCTTGCTCAGTAAAAAGACTGCTGTGTTTTTGAACAGCTGTGGCTCTTTTCTTTTTCTTCACTACTGTTTTTCCTCATGGTATACCATACTCACTCCCTCTACCCCCTCTCTTAATTTCTGACCTTCCCAAGACTTCCTTACTTTGTGCTTCTAAAGATTCTCAGTTTTACAGTTCAGTCTTATGCCTTCTACAAAAGAACAACGTGTTACCTTCTAAATCGACTAGAATACTGGCTTATTCTACAAAGTGAAGAGCACTTGCATTCTGTCTCCCATCCAAATGCTGACCTAGCACTATAATGTACGGCTTGTGACCGGTCATCCGAGGCTATAGGTCAGAAGAACGCAAGCCAAGTGTATAGGTATAATAACAGACCTGTGGAAAGAATAAAGAAAAATGGCAAAGCCTGATGTGGTCTGTGCAGCACAAAGCAAGAGCATGCCGGAGGAAGTAGCTGTACAATGAGTGGGTGAACAACAGAGTCCATCACACAGATGGGGTTCATTACTTCAGTGCCCTAATACTTGAAGCCTTTAATATGGACCTGATGATTAAGTGCTAGAATACTGTGTGTTAGAATACCTTTTAAGGGCACGAGGCTCAAGAAAATTAAGAGGAAACTGGAAACAAAATATTAGGTTGTAGAGACTCCCCCTCATAGTAGCAAAACACTAAGCAGGTGCTTAAATCCTTAACTTTAAGGCCCATCAGCTTCAACAGAATTTAAGCATGTACTTAAAGTTAAATAAGTGCTCAGCTGAATAGGGTTGGGATTACTTGTCTACCTTTTGTTGAAGGGAACCTGTATGATCAAGAACAGTGGCCCAAGGAACACTTTTTAACCCAGAGATTTGCTTGGGGATTTTACACAATCAGAAGGTGACCTATAGTTGTCTGTAACTGCAAGGGAAAATAATCTTGGCAATGTGAAGCTCCAAGTTCCATAACTAAACATCCAAATGACAGTGGAGAAAACAGGATTGATGTGTTGAAAGGATAGGCCTTTAGCTAACGTTGCTGTAATTGTCTGGAAGCATTAGGAAATCAGATAGTGATCTCCAACTGGTTATGTTACTGCCACCTAGATTCAGCCCTCCTGGAAAATACTATGGAGGTTCTTCAGGATCCTGATTTAGAATTCGGTCAGTAAAGAGGATCATCAGGCACTTGGATATCTGTGATAATAATGAAATTCTTGTTTTTCATATTCAGCTTCTTTTCCCTCTCTGCCCCGCTAACATTGAGCCAAGGGTGGGGGCTTGTAGGAATAAAACAGGTGGTCTGCTAAGGGTGAGAGAAGTAAAGAAAATGTCCTAGGAATACTATAGAAGCCAAACTATGACTAGCCTACATGCTAAGCAGGTAAAGAGTAACTGCTCTGAGATCCTTGATAAACTGTAGAAAATCCTAGAGAAATGAGCACATCCTGAAATAAACAGCAGCACCCAGCAAACTCAGATTTAGCAATTAGCCATGATGCTTAATGAAACAAATATAAATTTTAAAATTCTCAAAATACAAAAAACCACATTCAATCTTTCTCCTAAATTCAACTGACATTTTAAAAATAGCTCATAAAACAACATGCAGAAACAAAATTAGAGGTGTTAAAGCAAATCGATCTATTTACATCATAAAGAGCATTAATTTCACAGTCTATTATTTTTACTGAGTGGGCAAATAGGACAACTGGCTGTATAACTGAAACAATACTGCTCTATAACACCCATACTAATTCTTGAGTTAATGATGCAAAAGGCTTCAGGGCCAAGATTGGAGATAGACTTTTTCCCCCCCCTCAAACGTTATATAATAGTACTGTATGTAATGTGGCAAATCTTCAACCTGGCCAGGCCCTCCTGAGCAAAAGTGATTGTGCCTCTCATTGCCAGTGTACATACTTTCCAAATAAACCAACTGCATTGTTTGAAAACAAAGAGCCATAAAGGCCCTCCTTAGCTGTTCAAAATTTCCAAATATTCTTGACTTATGGATGGCCTTTAGATAAGGGAGCCAAGGAGCCATTTGTTACACTAACATCTGCCTTATCTGGTAGTTTACAAATATCTTCTTCTCTAAGCTTAATCAAAATGTTCATACATGTAAACCCCCCACCCCACCCCCGAATTATTCCACACCACTCTCTCTTGTCATCCTACATTAGAAAGCCTTGGCATTTTTAGAGTTTGATTTCTGAGCGGAAATTGGAGTGAGTAGCGTATTAATCATGCATATATGGTGCTGCAGTCAGGCTGTGACTTTCCCTTGTCCCTAGAACCATTATTAAAAACCAGTGCCAAAGCCCAGTTAGGGTTAGGATTTCTTAATTTTAAATCTGGAATACTTCCTCTTAAGCCAGGTTGAGAGGTTGGGATATCTCACAAGAGGCTTCTCTCTAACCTTCTAAGGTGTGGGAGGGAATAGCAGGAATTGATTGAGTATTGGCATTACCCTTCTCGTACATTCATGCTCTATATTCTGAGATGTGGAGCCAAGACTGAAACAGCCCAGCTCTTCTGAATCAGAAAAAATGCCAAATACCCTGTTTGGGCTACGAGATACAAATGGGGGGACTTCAGGTGTAAAACCTTTCAAAGATTTTTCCCGAGCTGCCAAATTCTCCCTAACATAACGTTGAAATTCAAAAAGCTTTCCTTGGTTTCTGACATATCTTTAAACACCATTTCCAGTAACTTCCCTGTAGTCAAATAATGGTCACAGTATTGTTAACCCCACCCTAGCGTCTGTGTGATATTGTCCAATTTTATATTGTCTGCTCTTTGACAAGCTAATAGTTGCGTAACTGCATAATTTTATTGGCTATCCTGTGAAATGTGTGGTAAATCATCTACCTTTCTGTATTTTTGTTTGTTTTCTTTAATAAAACAAAATGATCACAGCAGGATACTGAAAGCCTGAAGGAGGGGCAATGTTATTTCCCTGAACAGCATTGGGGGTGCAGATGTTTGCAGAGGAAACATAAAGGAGAGGTTTGGCTGCGTATTAGACAGATTATCATGAGAGAGCTGGGCAGCCCTTACCTCCCAGGAAGCAATCCAAATCTTTGTCCATTAGTGGGAGCTGCACAGTCAGCCAGAGAGCTCAAACTATGGGCAGGGCAGGTGCCTGATAGTACTACGAGTGAATGAAAAAGTCCATCAGATCAAACCTCCCCCAAAAATAATGGCGTGGGAGCTGATGTACAAGATTCTGTGAACATTTTAATAGGAGATACTGACTGAACTCTACAGGATTCCCATTGCCAAGGGTATGTGGGATTATAAAGTCTATAATATTGGTCTGGCCAGCAGTGGCAATGGAAGTACAAGTAGCTTACTCCTGAGCAGTTATCCAATTGGGCTGCTTGGCCAGACCTCCTGGTGTGATATCGCATAACAACCATCCTTGCTGCAATTGGTTTCACTCGGTCCTTCCTCATCCTTCCCTCAGTTCCACACGGTTGCTAGCTCTCTGTCTGCTTCCTAGGTCTATTTCTTCTGCAACTTCTTTCATACTCCCCTGCCCTTTAAGGATGAATATGACCTTTGTTTATGAAGGGCCTGATCTAGTGCTTATTAAAGTCAATGGAAAGACTTACACTGACTTCAGTAAGACCCAATGAGCCAGACTTTGATACCCTCACCCATCCTGGGTAGAACTTTACTCCATAAAGTTGTCCACCACTTGTGGCATCGGATACTGTTCAAGTGTGAGTAAGGGGATTGGTATCTGGCCCCAAGCATTGGACCAATACATTGCTGCAAATTTACCTTTCAGCAAGTCTGCCCATAAACTTCAAATTGAACTTTGTTGTTGCCTTAATTGGAATTGAATACCTGCCAGGCACTGGATATTGAAAGGCTAATAGTACATGCTGTGTTAGGACATGACAATCTTTCTTACAAAACTCCAGAATGTCAAACAATCTCTTCAGTAAAAGATGTATCTATATTATGCTTAACAATCCCTCTCATTTCAAAATGACTTACAAACTATAGTCAAGGATGGCTCTGTTAGTGAAATGTAGCATTTCTGGGGGTGACGTATGGCAACTGTCAAGTAGAACACAACAGTGCTACACAACTGAACATGAAGAGTACCTTTTTAGAACTGAAAATGTAGAGGGAATTTATTTAGGCTGTCCATAATTCCTAGAGTTGGAATATGGCCAGAATGCTGACACCGAGACCCCTACTCTTAAAAAGAATGTCATGGGATCTTTAAGGACCACATGTGATCCGGACCTTGTTTTAAGTCTCATCTGAAATATGCAAAGATTCTTTAAGGTGCTTTATCTTTAAACACATGAGATACAATGGGATTCTTCATGTGCTTAACTGCTTTGCTAGAGGAGGGCCTAGCAGCACAGTTCATCCCAGTGCTACTTTTAGTGCTTAAACAATAACACATTTAAATACTTTAAGCACAGAGGTAGTGTCTGCTGCGCTGCATGTGTGTGGAGAAGTGGGACGGGGTGCTAGTGAGAGGGCCTGAATGATACGCATCATCCTGCCTACCAAAACCTCTGCCTCTATGGCCCCGAGCAACTTCGTTCTATCTTCGTAGCTTCCCTGCAATGCTCTACTCTTTCCCTCCCCTTCCACTAGAAGAGTTAAGGTTGCTCTGTTGTGTTGCATAGAGAGAAACGTCTAGTCTGTGAGTGTACAACCCCAGCTTGGTTTAAGAATTCTATATTTAACTTTAGTTGGTGACTTCCTTTTGTCTAAAAACAATTTCTTTTTGGGTGAGGAAATATGAAATGATTTGGGTGTAGAAAATTGTTTTTAAAATACATTTTATTCTCTTATTAGTAATTCTTCCAAGTCAACACCATTGGTACGAGCTTCTTGGTGTCAGTAGTATAGGGACTACTGTGCCAAGAAATCCTTGTGTTTTTGAGGGTATATATGGAGCTCTTACTCCTTGGGGCAGCTATTTCTCTGGGGAAGTAAGAAAATATGAAATCCTAGGTATGTAAAGGATTCATTAACAAGCATTAACAGACAATGCAATATCTGGTATTTTTCCCATCCCCCAATATAATTTGAGTTCTGTAAGATGTTTCCCCACATACTGTTGTCCTCAAAAGTTTAGGTCATTGTTTTTAAACTGAAAAGCTCTTTCTGGGTGTAGACATTTGTATGCCGCTACAGGATTAGAAAGGGAAATTCCAAGCACTAATTCCTTGGTCAGACTCATGTCATGTGAGATAGCTCTGTGAAATATGTTGAACAGTCTGGAGACTCTAGAACTTTCAAGGTAATTATCATCACTAAAACCCAGTGAACACATATCTAGCTTTTTTCTTTATATGATTTTGTAATTTGCATAATAGCACATACAGGACATACCTGAACAATTAGGGCCCAATTCTGTGAGGGTCAGAGCAGTCTCAGCTCAGCTCTTCTACAGGAGATGAGCATGCTTAACACCTCTCAGGAGTCACTTGGAACTCTGCAGGGTCTGACTTTAACTATGCTTCTCAAGTATCTTGACGTACTGCTTAATAACTATCTACAGAAGTCATCCACCAATACAGTGCCTGCCATGTCCTTTTAGGTAGCTGTAATATTGTCTTAGCCATTATATACATGTGCCTTTGTGATAGCCTCATGCATCTATTGCAGTTTAAAAACACGTTGCAAGAAAAGCACAATATAGTTCAGATAATTTCCCTCTGAAGTAATAGAATTATTGCTCAGATACATGGTTTTAGTAGTCGAGAATTGTAACAAGCCAAATAGTGTAAAATAGAAATGGCACTTGCACTTAAATTGGAAAGGATGGAAGTGGTCTTCAGAGGTGCCAGAACCTTGTGGGTTTTGTCTTGTTTTTAATTGTATGAACTAAAGTATATTGGCTACAAATGGGAGTGACCTTCCCTTCCCCACTTTTTTTCCTTCTCTCCTATTTTCAGAGGGTCCTGGGCCTCTGCCGTGGACGGGTGGTTCTGCAACTAAACCTGGAAAACCCAAAGGAAAGAAAAAGTTTTCTTCAGTTCGGCAGAAGTTTGATGTAAGTTTATATTCTGCAAAGGGTCTCAGCTCTGCTAAACACTCTAGAAATGAAGAGCTGGCAACTTGTGAGCAGTAAATGGTCCCTTTGTTAGCCGGGATGGCTAAGATGCTTTACCTCATTCCAGCAGAAGTGTTTGTATTAAAGCAGTGGTTCCCAAACTTTAACAACCTGTGAACCCCTTTCACTAAAATGTCAAGTCTCACGAACCCTCTCCTAAAAATGAATATTTCCAATTTTCTCCTTTACCTGAGTATAAATGATAAAAGCAGTGACCTTGGAAATATAAAATTTGTTTTTATGACATGCTTATTACACACTATTTATTATTAATTATTATTTATCATTACAGTATTTTTATTAGAATCAAACGAAAGGCAGAGACAAAATTTCTCGATACTTTAAATGACTGCTTATTGGAGCAGCTGGTACAGGAATCCACAAGGGGAGAGGCAACTCTCGATTTAGTCCTGAGTGGAGCACAGGATCTGGTCCAAGAGGTAACTATAACAGGACTGCTTGGAAATAGTGACCATAATATAATAACATTTAACATTCCTGTGGTGGGAAGAGCACCTCAACAGCCCAATACTGTGTTATTTAATTTCAGAAAGGGGAACTATGCAAAAATGAGGAGGTTAGTTAAAGAGAAATTAAAAGGTACAGTGACTAGAGTGAAATCCTTGCAAGCTGCATGGACACTTTTCAAAGACACCATAATAGAGGCTCAACTTAAATGTATATCCCAAATTAAAAAACACAGTAAAAGAACTAAAAAAGAGCCACCGTGGCTTAACAACCATGTAAAAGAAGCAGTGAGAGATAAAAAGGCATCTTCTAAAAAGTGGAAGTCAAATCCTAGTGAGGTAAATAGAAAGGAGCATAAACACTGCCAAATTAAGTGTAAAAATGCAATAAGAAAAGCCAAAAAGGAGTTTGAAGAACAGCTAGCCAAAAAACTCAAAAGGTAATAACAAAATGTTTTTTAAGTACATCAGAAGCAGGAAGCCTGCTAAACAACCAGTGGGGGCCCTGGACGATCGAGATACAAAAGGAGCACTTAAAGACGATAAAGTCATTGCGGAGAAACTAAGTGAATTCTTTGCTTCAGTCTTCACGGCTGAGGATGTTAGGGAGATTCCCAAACCTGAGCCAGCTTTTGGAGGTGACAAATCTGAGGAATTGTCACAGATTGAAGTGTCACTAGAGGAGGTTTTGGAATTAATTGAGAAACTTAACTGTAACAAGTCACTGGGACCAGATGGCATTCACCCAAGAGTTCTGAAAGAACTCAAATGTGAAATTGCTGAACTATTAACTACGGTTTGTAACCTGTCCTTTAAGTCAGCTTCTGTACCCAATGACTGGAAGATAGCTAATGTAATGCCAATATTTAAAAAAGGCTCCAGAGGTGATCCTGGCAATTACAGACCGGTAAGTCTAACGTCAGTACCTGGCAAATTAGTTGAAATAATAGTAAAGAATAAAATTGTCAGACACATAGAAGAACATAAATTGTTGGGCAAAAGTCAACATGGTTTCTGTAAAGGGAAATCATGTCTTACTAATCTAATAGAGTTCTTTGAAGGGGTCAACAAACATGTGTCTGTACTGCGTACAGATGTGGTCCTCTCATCTCAAAAAAGATATACTGGCATTAGAAAAGGTTCAGAAAAGGGCAACTAAAATGATTAGGGGTTTGGAACAGGTCCCATATGAGGAGAGATTAAAGAGGCTAGGACTTTTCAGCTTGGAAAAGAGGAGACTAAGGGGGGATATGATTGAGGTATATAAAATCATGAGTGGTGTGGAGAAAGTGAATAAGGAAAAGTTATTTAGTTGTTCCCATAATATAAGAACAAGATAGTTGTTCTGCTCAAGATAGTTAAGACCAAAGCAGACTGTGAAGAACTTCAAAAAGATCTCACAAAATTAAGTTATTGGGCAACAAAATGGCAAATGAAATTTAATGTGGATAAATGTAACCCAAACTATACATACAATATGATGGGGGCTAATTTAGCTACAACAAATCAGGAAAAAGATCTTGGAGTCATCGTGAATAGTTCTCTGAAGATGTCCACGCAGTGTGCAGAGGCGGTCAAAAAAGGAAACAGGATGTTAGGAATCATTAAAAAGGGGATAGAGAATAAGACGGAGAATATATTATTGCCCTTATATAAATCAATGGTACGCCCACAGCTTGAATACTGCGTACAGATGTGGTCTCCTCATCTCAAAAAAGATATACTGGCACTAGAAGGGCAACTAAAATGATTAGGGGTTTGGAGAGGGTCCCATATGAGGAGAGATTAAAGAGGCTAGGACTTTTCAGCTTGGAAAAGAGGAGACTAAGGGGGGATATGATAGAGGTATATAAAATTGAGTGATGTGGAGAAAGTGGATAAGGAAAAGTTATTTACTTATTCCCATAATACAAGAACTAGGGGTCACCAAATGAAATTAATAGGCAGCAGGTTTAAAACCAATAAAAGGAAGTTCTTCACGCAGCGCACAGTCAACTTGTGGAACTCCTTACCTGAGGAGGTTGTGAAGGCTAGGTCTATAACAGCGTTTAAAAGAGAACTGGATAAATTCATGGAGGCTAAGTCCATTAATGGCTATTAGCCACGATGGGTAAGGAATGGTGTCCCTAGACTCTGTTTGTCAGAGGGTGGAGATGGATGGCAGGAGAGAGATCGCTTGATCATTACCTGTTAGGTTCACTCCCTCTGGGGCACCTGGCATTGGCCACTGTCGGTAGACAGGATACTGTGCTGGACGAACCTTTGGTCTGACCCAGTATTGCCATTCTTATGTTCTTATGTATTACATTATGAAAACGGCAACACTCTTCCATGATCTCACTTTTGTAGCTTGTATAACTTTGAATAAGCATGTTATAAGACAAGGCTCCTATGTTTCATCAAGGAGTATCAGATGTGAAACCGCATGAAGGTATTTAAGAAGCCAATCCAAAGAGTTCCTCCTACACAAGCATTCGGGGCTTGAGCAGTCCAGACAAACAATGCACGTTACAACAAAGCTTAAACTTGTTCTTCATAATAATTTTAAAAACAATACTAGCTGCCTATTTAATTTTAAGAACAGCAAAAAATATCCACCTCCCTTTCCATTTCTTATAAGGAGTCTTGAAGTTTAAATCTCCTCAGTGTGATAGATATGCTTGCTTTGATCTGCTTAGCTCTTGGAAGTCCAGGGGCTCTGGCTGCTGGCCCCGTGCTGCCCAGGATCCCTAGGGACAGCTCTGTCCGGCATTAGGGATTTTTTTCCTGGGAACCCCCTGTAACATTTCGTGAACCCAAACCCCAGTTTGGGAACCACTGATTATTAAAGCAATAAGTATTCAAGTGTAATTACCAGACAAATCTCTTTTAGTCCAGATATTTATAATTTCATGCTGCCCCAATCTCTTGTTGACTTTAAAAAGCTAAGTGCTTCATGAAGCAAAAGGTTCCATATATTATAGTTACCATTGTGCTTACCCCTTCTTCTCAAATTGACTTGCTGTGTGAGCCTGGTTGGGCTAGCCAACTCCATATTGCTTTGGGCCGTCTGGATGGGTGCAACACTTTCTTTTAAACAGACCACTCTTAAAGGGCTCCAAGTTCTTAAGGGAAAATACTTCAGAGTGCCTCTTCTCTGCCTAGCCTTTTCCCTGTGGGGTGCGGGGAGAAACGCATAGGACCAGGTTCTCATTTACATTAATCCCCTTTTACATTACTCTGGCATTCTAAAGGGTCTGTAAAGTGGGCCCACTTGGAGGCTGCTTTACACTGCCAGAGTGGTATAAAAGGCATTAGTGTGAATGAGAATTGGGCCCATAAATGCCAGAGACTAAATTTGACACTGGTATAATCAGGCACTGTAATACTCTTTACAAACAGCGGTTTTAAAGAATTGTGAACCCAGTGGAAGTAGAATTGTATTTAGAAATTGCCACAATGATTCAGACAATATTTCTTACTATTCATCCTGTTTTGGCTGAGACTGTAACAGCAATGCATATTCGGATAATCTGTAGTATCTTCATTTATAAAAATTCTCCGTAATCTCTTCGCACTAAGCAATTATGAGAATCTGATTAACTGAGTAATACATATGTCTGGTGATGGACTTAAAACTTGGTTTGTTTAAAAAATGTGAATGTGTGTATATATACTGTAGATGTGCATTTTTTTTCAGGAATGTATGATAGTGTAGTACTGTATTAAGGTTTTATCAGGATGAATTTTGGTAGTGAAGTTAATAATCCCATTAGAGTTAAGATGTTCAGTTGACACCAAAATACTGCTGAGAGAGTTGATTTCTGTTAATGCTCCACTCGCTCTCTCAAAAGGACAACCTCTCTGCTGCAAGGAGGGAAGGGGAACAGAAGTCTCTTCTACTCTATCCCTTCCCCACCTTTCTTTTTTCTTTTTTTCCCCTGCCCCATGAATAACTTCTGTGCCTGACCCTGCTATTAGTATTCCTCACCAGCATGAAATTGACACAATTTCATTGCTACCCAGAAAGGTCCCAGTAACAGCTGTGAAATTACCAGATTTCATGTTAATTCCACTTTGCTTCTGCTTTCCAAAGGCATATGTTCTCTGTTTGCAGAATCAGTTACATTTTGAAGGTTATATCTTTGCAACCAAATGAAAGCTGAAGTCCTCAAAATTAGCAGAACAACTTCCCACTCATTAGTGGTAATATTTTTTCCATCAGATTTAAATAAATGTTGGTTAGATATATGGTTATTCTTTGTAGTTTTGTATAAAGCTTTTATAACGCCCTCTATCCGAGGATGTCTTTACAAACATTAACTAATTAAGCATTTGATATTTTGGGATGACATCTGATATTTTGGGATGACTGAAAAACAGCTGCTTCTGAGGGGGAACACCCAGCTGTTTAGCAGCACGCAACAATGTTAAGTTGAAAAGGTAAGGTAAATTGAAGTGTAGTTGTAGCCGTGTCGGTTCCACGATATTAGAGAGACAAGGTGGGTAAGGTCATATCTTTTATTGGACCAACTTCTGTTGATGAGAGAGACAAACTTTCGAGTTCTGTATGGCTTGAAAGTTTCTCTCTCACCAACAAAAGTGGGTCCCATAAAAGATATTACCTCACTCACCTTGTCTCAGGTAAATTTAAGACAGGCAGAATATAAAAACTGAAGTTGGAACCCAACTAGACTGCTATGCTTAAAATCCCTATTCTCTTATGAAAAGTGCCTTGTTTAATGACCATGTAAATTCAGGACCTCAATTCCACATCTCCCCTGAAAGCTGTATTCAGTGCTGGAATTAGTAGTTTTTAAATGAAAAGTGTGTTTGTCTGACAGCACCGATTCCAGCCTCAGAATCCATTGTCTGGAGCCCAGCAGTTTGTGGCAAAGGATCCTCAAGAAGATGATGATTTGAAGCTGTGTTCCCATACAATGATGCTTCCCACGCGGGGCCAGCTAGAAGGAAGGATGATAGTCACTGCATATGAGCACGGGCTAGACAATGTCACCGAAGAGGCAGTGACGGCTATTGTCTATGCTGTGCAGGTTAGAAAAGACAAACCAATGATGTGGTTTTGATTATGCTACTAACAAAAGGCTTTGTATATGGTATATGGTGGGGCACTACAGTGTGTGAGAGGAAAATAGCTTCACTATATTTACAGGTGACTTATGAGAATCCACGCCATGTGTTTCAAAGGGGCCTCCCAAACTGGCACTGAAAGTTATTCTTGCAGCTCTTCAGATCAGAGTCTTGGCACACACAAAGGATCTTGGATTCGTGCATACAAAAATATAATTTGCAGAAGTGAAAAATTGTAGGCATAATTTTAGAAGCTGAGTTTGAAAAGTTGGACCTTCAGCTTTTAAACTAAAAGATTTCTTTAACTATGATGGATTTTTAAAATGTATATTCCATTGCTAGCAGCGGTTTATACTCCAGATTTATATCCAGAGGCAATAGGATTAGTTTTGAACAGTCCCTTTTTAGGCACATCAAGCTGTTGTAAAACTTGTCTGCTATTGAAGCTCAAGCAAGGTAGATAAATCATATAGTGCCCAAACCTGAAGTGCTGATTACATGCAATTCCCATTGTCTTCTATGGGAGTTATGGCGATTAGCATCTCTCAAGACCAGGTCCAAGCACTGCAAGCAACTACTTAGGGCTTGTGCTCCTGGGGGCTTACACAGCAGACTCAGGACTCAGAGGCCAGTCTGATCTCCCGATCCGTCAATAGGACCAGATGCGGGAGCAACTTTCTGCTTGTTCTTTCCACCCCTTCACACCCTCTCCAGCAGTTTCACCTCAGAAGTAAGGCCAGCCCTTAATAAAAACAGTGTGGCTTTCAGAATAGCTTTAAGTGCAATATTCCCATGAACTGTCTGATGCTGATTATGAAACCCTTTCTTGTCCTCTACCACAGTGTGCTAGTTAATGGTGGGAATTTCCTGACATTTAAAAGACATTTTTAAGATTGGTACCAGGAGAGCTCAAATTAGAGCTGTAAGTTTCAGTTCACAGGCAAATGCACACAGTGCTCCGTTTCCTGTGCTTGTTCTGCTTTGTGTACAAATAGGTTAATGAAATTTACACCAATCCTGCTGTCTGAAGGCAGGCTCCCGTGAAGTTTGGTACCCTACTGATTTGCAGAAATAAATCAGGAATAGAAACACATGAACATGTGATAGCAAGTAAATCAGCACGCTGGCTTTGTTTTGATTGGGTTGCCCTCCTGAGGAACTAGGATTTTTATTTGGGTTGGAGATCTGTTTTTTTTTTTTCCAGGGCTATCTTGATTGATTGATTTTTCAGATTTAGTACAAAACTATAAAATACGTCCTTTTCCAGATATGTGATGCAGGGGGATGCTATTTGTATCATCCTCTACTGAATGCACTTCCTTTAAAATAACATTGCCAGATTGTGCCTCTAATAATGGAAGCTATCCATATAACAGAATCCACCTGTTAATAGACTAAAATGAATAGTTATGAAACTATGTCTCTATATATGACCAATGGCATTTGTGATGTACTGATTGCAGCAGTATCTAGGTGGAAGGGATAAACAGGCCTATGTGACACTATTGTAAAGTTTTGAGAGCATGCTCCACAAATGGTAAAGGTAAGGTTTGTCATTACAGAATCACCTTAAGGATATCCTGGCATCTGTAGTATCCAGGAGGAAAGCCTATCGCCTGAGAGATGGTCATTTCAAATACGCCTTCGGAAGCAATGTTAACCCACAGCCTTACCTGAAGAACAGTGTTGTTGCCTATAATAATCTAATTGAATGGTAAGCGAGCTCTCATGGAGCTACCTTGTTCTAAACATAGTCAATGAGTAGTTGGTGTAGGAGACTGAGCATACTGATCCATTTTTTAAAACCCCTGGAGAAAACTTGGTGGTAATATTTAATATTCAGAAACTGCAGATGTGCCAGAGGACTATCCCTACTGGGCAAAGGGGAAGGACTTGGGGTTTAGCATAAAGTGCCCTGGCAAGAAGTCTGTGCCCCTTACCACTGTACTCACCTGCTAGGAAGATACTGGAATTCCTGCTTGGGTGTTCTCTCTAGATCCAGTCTGAGGACTCAGTTTTTCATATAAGCCTCTGGTTAGTAGGCGAGTGTTTGATTTGAAGCACACAGACTCTTACTCCCCGCCTTCCAACTATCTCTGGCTGCTGGAAGGGAGAAGCAGCTTTCACCTGGGAATAGCGAAGGGGTTGGGCCACTATTTTTCCCTTCCCCACTCTCCTGGCTCTGCCACTTCCCCAGCCTCTCTTTGGGTCCTACTCCCATGTGGATAACTCCAGTGTCTACCTTTGTTGCTTTCCCAGACAGCCACAGTGTGGAATTGACAAAGATACTGGCTCGTGGCTACTGTGCAGAACTCTTTCGGCCAGCAGTAAAATTATCAGCAATGATGTTGATTTCAGTCTCCTGCTGCAGCCTCTTGGGAAGGCTATGAGCAGCAGTAATCTTGCATCTGTCTGCAGACTCAGGAAGACTGCACAATTCATATCTGGAAGGTTATCTTCTCAGCATAAGGAGTGGTTTTTTGTTTGTTTTGTTTTGCATGAAAGAGTAAATTCTGCAGAAGATTATGCTTCTCCCACTATCCCCTCTCCACAGAGAAAATTTCCTGCTCCCTACTGGCAAATGGATTTTTCAAGCCCTGATAATCATAGAATCATAGAATATCAGGGTTGGAAGGGACCTCAGGAGGTCATCTAGTCCAACCCCCTGCTCAAAGCAGGACCAATTCCCAACTAAATCATCCCAGCCAGGGCTTTGTCAAGCCGCGCCTTAAAAACCTCCAAGGAAGGAGATTCCACCACCTCCCTAGGTAAAGCATTCCAGTGCTTCACCACCCTCCTAGTGAAATAGTGTTTCCTAATATCCAACCTAGACCTCCCGCACTGCAACTTGAGACCATTGCTCCTTGTTCTGTCATCTGCCACCACTGAGAACAGCCGAGCTCCATCCTCTTTGGAACCACACCTCAGGTAGTTGAAAGCAGCTATCAAATCCCCCCTCATTCTTCTCTTCTGGAGACTAAACAATCCCAGTTCCCTCAGCCTCTCCTCATAAGTCATGTGCTCCAGACCCCTAATCATTTTTGTTGCCCTCCGCTGGACTCTTTCCAATATTTCCACATCCTTCTTGTAGTGTGGGGCCCAAAACTGGACACAGTACTCCAATTGAGGCCTCACCAATGTCGCATAAAGGGGAACGATCACGTCCCTCGATCTGCTGGCAATGCCCCTACTTATACAGCCCAAAATGCCATTAGCCTTCTTGGCAACAAGAGCACACTGTTGACTCATATCCAGCTTCTTGTCCACTGTGACCCCTAGGTCCTTTTCTGCAGAACTGCTACCTAGACATTCAGTCCCTAGTCTGTAGCAGTGCATAGGATTCTTCCATCCTAAGTGCAGGACTCTGCACTTATCCTTGTTGAACCTCATCAGGTTTCTTTTGGCCCAATCCTCTAATTTGTCTAGGTCCCTCTGTATCTGATCCCTACCCTCCAGTGTATCTACCACGCCTCCCAGTTTAGTGTCATCTGCAAACTTGCTGAGAGTGCAGTCCACACCATCCTCCAGATCATTAATAAAGATAAAAAGAACAGGAGTACTTGTGGCACCTTAGAGACTAACAAATTTATTAGAGCATAAGCTTTCGTGGGCTACAGCCCACTTCTTCGGATGCAAGATATTTTGTTTAATAAAGATATTAAACAAAACCGGCCCCAGGACCGACCCTTGGGGCACTCCGCTTGAAACCGGCTGCCAACTAGACATGGAGCCATTGATCACTACCCGTTGAGCCCGACGATCTAGCCAGCTTTCTATCCACCTTACAGTCCATTCATCCAGCCCATACTTCTTTAATTTGGCGGCAAGAATACTGTGGGAGAATGCTATGCTATGCACATCTGAAGTACCTTTCATCCAGGGATCTCAAAGCCCTTTCTGTACGTTAACTGCCAAGGGAAGGGAGGAAAGCCCATTACTGGAGACATTTAAATTGGATTGGATAATATATTGAATTGTATTTTTGGACTAATTATACACTGGTCCCAGGGTACAGGCTTGATGATCTATAACTAAGGCTATGTTTTAGTCACAGGTATTTTTAGTAAAAGTCATGGACAGGTCATGGGCAGTAAACAAAAATTCACGGCCCGTGACCTGTCCATGAGTTGTACTATATACCCCAAACTAAAACTTGGGCCCAGGACCCCTGCTGGTGCTGGGGGCGAGGCGGGCAGCATGCAGCCCAGGACCCCCGCTGGTGCTGGGTGAGGAAGGGTTGGCGGGGCTGGCAGGCTCCCTACCCAGCTCCGCTTATTCCTGCAGCTCCTAGGGTGAGGGAAGGCCAGTGGGCTCCCTGCACTGCCCCGAGCTCCGACTCCACAGCTCCCATTGGCTGGGAACCGCAGCCAATGGCAGTTGCGGGTGCGGCGCCTGTGAGCGTGAGTAGTGCACAGAGCCCCCAGCCCCTCCAGCTAGGAGTTGCAGGGACATGCCGGTGCTGGAATGTGTTTATATATTCAGTGTGTTTTAGCAATGTTAGCAGTACCTGTGCCAAGTTCATGTACCGGACACTGAACTTACAGGCATTTACTTCAGTACATCGCCTGACTTTGCTTCACAATGTCTGGCTCAGGCCTCAGGTCTTGCACCAGGCCTAATGCTCTAGGCTCTCTCTACTACAGTAAATAGAGCATGCAGCTTGTGATGAGAGAGATATTGGAATTGTCAGAGGTGCAAGCCATGGATGGTAACCCACAGAATCCTCAATCAGTTTGTGCTACCCTCCTGGAGGGGGGGCAGTCCAGTAGTTTAGAAAGCGGAAACTTGGAATTCTGATTAATTGGTCAGTTATTCCTTCCTTAGGAAGCATTAGTAAGAAACCAGAGCTGGCCCTTGGGGTGGACTCAGCATCCAGTGTTTTGTTTGTATTCCATTCCAATCTTCTATCTCCCTCATCACTGTGCTATCTGAGCTCCTTCCAGGAGTGCACAAAGTAACATGACTAGCATCTGTCACATATGGGACTCCCTTTTTTTCTCCTCCAAGGGAAAATTATGTTAAGGTCTTTTAAATAATTTATATTTGTTTTCTCTCTGCTGTGCTCTGTGTGCTTTTTGCTGAAGGCGAGGTCAGAAAATTGCACCCACACTTGGAGCAGAAGCTGGTGAGAGTCAAGGCAGTTCTTAGATTCTGTAAAAATTTGTTCTGCAGTCTCAGGCTGGCCCCCGGTAAAGCTCAGTCTCTGCACAGCAAAACACAACCCTCGTGGTGGACAGCGCCAGTGTACCGTGGGAGCAGGGGCAGTTCCAGGGGTGGGTGAGCCAGGCAGTTGTCTTGGGCATTGAACTGCTGTGCCACTCTGCTTTGTTTTGCTCTGCTTCTGATCGGTCGGCTGTTTGGTTTAATTTGGTTTGGTTTTTGTCCATCACTTGTGCATGCAAGTGATGAGTTTTGCATATGTACATTCTTTCAACTTCAGGGTGGTAGGGGGCCAAAAATAGGACTAGGACTGCTCCGGCTTGGGAGCAGAGAGGTCAGCCACAGTCCCAGAGCTTCAGGTGAACTTTTAGGTTTTACCTTCAGCACCTTGCAGATAAAGACTTTGTTTGTTCCTGCCTTGTCTCTGCCAGACACATGGGCCAGAGTGGGCTCCTTTATGTTTTCAGTCCTGAGATATCATGGTCTTTTTAATAGCTAATCTCCAGAACACATCTTGTCTCTTGTAATCTCTGAAATCCAAACAGCGGTGCACTATACAGTGTGTTGTTTATGCTTAGAAGTAAGCATGCTGTCTCTGGCTGCTGGGGAGCAGTGGGATTTTGCCATTTGAAGAGTTGCAACTGATGCATAGTTTAACCATTACGTATTTGTTTTTAGTTTGTGCAACTCTTTACTTAGTGGAGACACAGCCTTGGGATCTGTTCTGGCTGGAGATTAGTCATGTAAGAATGCCAGCAGCCTGTCTGCAATAAAGTGACCAAGTTAAAAGTAACGTAAACCAGTTTAAGTGTGGCCACACGGCTTTGCGCCATTTTAACTCAGTCCCTTTTAAAAGCTGATTTTTAGTGAAACCAGTGCAACGTTGGTATCCAGACAAGGCCTGAGCCAGCTCTGAGTGAAGAATAAAGTTCAGGAGCTAAGCTACTGCCCTGATATTTCCCAAGGTGAGTGCTTCTTTATTGACTGGAATGTCTTTAATGTCCCTCTCTTTACAGTCCTCCTACCTGCGTGGCACCTTCTGCGGGTCAGAATCTAGCCTCCCACCCCGCTCCTGACGATGCTGAGCAGCAGGCAGCTCTCCTCTTAGCATGTTCCGGGAATACTTTACCAGCTACTCTCCCTCCCGTGAACATGTATGACCTTTTTGAGGCATTACAGGTAACCATTCACGTTCCATTGCAGCATGGCTTGGGGATATGCTTTCCTGAGCAGAGACTGCTAGTCAGAGCTGATTGTGTCTGCTCTGTATTATGTACTTGGAGTCTGACCTGATTTCACTCCCTCCCCACTGCCTGTTTGTTTAAACAGGCTGTTTCCTTGTTTTCTTCTTAAATCTGTGGCTATACATGGAGCTGCACAGAGTATTAGGCAGGGACTATGGATTGGCCCCGCCAGTTGTGTAAATGTTGCCAGGTAGATGCAAGCACATTATGCGTTAGATCATAGGTTCTCACCTTGGGATTATGCGCTTTGCACTATGGGGTTACAGGTGATCACAGCCCCCCTCCCTGCATTCGATTGATGGAGATTCTGGCAGAAATATGGCACACTGAGTTGCCATATAAATCCCTCTTTTCTCTGTGTTCCATGCAGGTATTTATTACCAGCTGGGCTGCCCGAGCTGTCCGTCCCTGGGTTTGCATGGCTTGGGGCTGGTGAGACCAAGCATTCTCAGCAGGAGGACTCTGGAATTTGACCCTTACGAGCATGTTGCAAGCACTATCTATTTCCCTATGCTTATCCTGAGTGGGTAGCTTCAGTGCAGGTGGTCTCTTCTGGGTGTATGTAAATACTGGCAAGTTAGAAACAAAGCAACAAGCCTAACCTTTTGGTTGCCCCTGAGAACCCCTTCATCAGCTTATTATATAGTTATAATAAATGCACTAGATGCATCTTATTTTAGAAATGAGGGGCGTGAGCGTAATAGCATCTGGCTAGCAATGTTTTCTAACGTGTAACCCCTGCCCCCGCAGGTGCACAGAGAAGTTGTTCCAGCACACACCGTCTACGCTCTAAACATTGAGAGAATCATCATGAAACTTTGGCATCCAAACCACGAGGAGCTGCAGCAAGACAAAATCCATCGCCAGCGCTTGGCAGCAAAGGAAGGGCTGCTGCTATGCTAAAGTGAGGATGGCCGGCGTTGAGGCGGGCTGTCATTTTGTGAACTCGGCAGCGGGGTCTCCTCAGCTTTGCCGTTATGAAAACAGTGTCGAATCTTGCATCATCGTGTCAGCATTTCAAGGCAGAAATGTGTAATATGTGTAACCTTTTCCTATGGAAACGTGACCCAAGGGTAGTACATCTTGTTTGCTATCGTGAAGCCGTAGAGTCAACCCAACTCTGGGTTACTCTGACTGCTTGGGGCTGCACTGCTCCAACTGCATTTGAAAAGGAATGGAAGTTAGACTGTGTCCTGTGTAGGGAAAAATGTGAGTGGCAGGGGGAGAAGGAACTATTTAGTTTTAACTATTTAGTTTTGTTTAGTAGGTGTGATGTATCTGTGCTGGCAAACAGCCTACTGCCATAGAGGGCCTGACAGAGTGCATGACTATTTGTCACGCTCGACAGTGACTGTCTGAGTTGCAGCCTGAACCACTGTGCTTAAAATCCAGGTGAAGAAACATGCCTGTGGCAAAGTACCTTTCCTTTGGTGTAACTAGGACTTCCCTGTGAAGGGGAGAGGTCTGCTCCTCACTGCCAGAATGGTTGTCATGCGTTCTCCCTCTCTGCGCCCCGTCAGTGTCACCAGGGAGAACCCAGATCCTGCCATTGTCTGGTGGCGGGGGAGGCACAGACTACAGAAAGAATTGGAAGGAGTATGGGATGTTGCACTTGTCAAAGGGGCAGATCCAAAGCCTATTGACCTCCCTGGGCTTTGGGGCAGGCCCAAAGTGCAAGTGCCCTGCTGTGGCAGGTATTCGTATTGGAAAAGGCTGTGTTCTGAGAGTGCCTGTGGTGTAATCACACTAGTATATAGCTTACCAAGGTATGTTCAGAGCATGTGTGAAGTTGGAAAAGCAGTGTTTCTTAGTACCCAGGGCTTGATCCAGCTCTCCATGAGCTCAGTTCGAGTCTTTCTCTTGATTTCATTGGGAGCTGGATTGGAGTTCTGGGGAGTCAAGACACCCAAGTGAAGATGAGTATAGTGCCCACGTGGACCCTCCATTTATACCCTGGCAACCTCCACTTCTGGATCTGGACTATGAGATTGTGACACACAAATGAAAGGGCCTATGATTTCTATGCTGAGAGGGGAAAGCTGTTTAAAACACACTGAAGTATAGAGCCAATCTTTCAAACTGGTGGCTAGACTGGACTGTGTTTGGGGCTGTAGCCCAGTATACCCAAATCAGTGCTGTTTTACCTATTCAGAAAACTGGACTATGGCAGCTTCCTGTAATGCAGTGCTAGGAGGGGAGGCTGAGGGGATGTGTCTACACTGGAACTGGAAGGTGTCATTTCTAGCTAGAGGAAACATCCCTGCACCAATGCACTAAAAACAGAAGTCACACCGCCCCAAGTATGTACCTAGCATTTCCGGTGGGATTGTACTCAGGGTGGCTAGTCACTCATGCTGCGGCGGCTACACTTCTGTGTCTAGCGTGCTAACTCAGAGCTAGCACAGGTATATCTGCTCAAACTGGAAATTACACCTCCAGCTCCCCTGTAGATGTACCTTAAAGGGCTCCCTGTACCCACTCCTTTCCCCCTCCTCAGAATATGCTTGTACTGGGGCAGCTATAATTTAAAATAAAAAAAAAAAATTTGTTTCACTAGAGTACTCAAAACACAGAGCCAGTCTCCGTCTCTCCTCTGGCTGCCTTCCCTATAATTGGTGAGGGGCTCAGATCCCTCCCACCCAATCCCTGACCTATTAGTTTGCCTATGCTTCCAGGGAATCCCCTTAACAAACAATAGGTTCTGGTTCTGGAGGATCACTAATGTAGCAAGATGGCTCCCCATTGGTTGGTACTTCCTGTTTTTCTGAAGCTTCCCAGGGGAAGGGGGCGTGGAAGTGTACCACGTACCATGGTGTGAGGGGTAGTAAGGGTGGAGACTGCAGTTTGTATCCAGTGGCTCAGGATGAGAAGGACCCTAGTGAGTTATGAAGCCAATTCCAGGAGATGGTGGTGTAGGAAGAAGCAGCATGAGGGACCTGGTAAAGCACGTGGTCACTGGTAGCAAGGACCTTGCAATAGCAGCTCCACAGCCTCCTAAAGCTCAGCAGTGTCTGAGCATATGTTGAATCTGGGAGAGGACACAGATTCCCCCCCCCCCCCCCTTCCCAACACCCATTTTTTCTTACTTCAGGTATATGTAGCAGAATGAGCCTTAAACCCCACCAGTTTGAAATCCACTAGTTTTAGAAGGCAATTCTTAAAACCAAGACTGAACTATAAAACTTACAATATATACTAGTGAGATCAGCAGGGCACCCGAAGTACTACTGGCTTTGGGGTGGGGGTGGGGGTGGGGGATTTCCTAGCTAGTCATAATGCTTTGATATGGAATGAAAACATTAAGTGTGTTTGCTAGAAATTTAAATAAGCAGCCTCTAAAGTGTCATACATTTTTAAATAAAATGCCTTAGTGCTGAAATGAAATATGCATTTGTGTGTGTTTGTATGAAGAGCACACCATGTATATGCTGTGCAGAACCTTTTATTCTCCAGTGCTGTGTAATCTATTCAATGTAGAAGAAAAAGGAGTTAAAGGAAACCTGCCTCACAGGGCTGGATTAAGGAAATGCCTCCATTTTGCCATCTGTAAAATGGGGGTGATGGTACTGACCACCTTTTTGTAACAGGATTTTAAATCTACTGATGAAAAGCGCTATAGTACAACTACGTGGTATTATTTTATTACAGTACCTGTGGCACATCCCCATAGCCCTGCCTCCATACTGGCCCTCCTTCCCCCTGTGGCCCCTCCCCTCCTTGGTTTGGTTGTGACAGGGGTCACCCACAAGGGCATTCTCTTGGAAGGTGTTGGGGTGAGTAGCTAGTGCCATTAACTGACAGTAGTCTATCATTTGGGTGGACTTGGCTGTCAGCACTGGCACACTCATTCACCATCAGCAATTGCCTGGCTACTATCCAATAAATGGAACTGGTGACCTTGAGCAGTATAGTTTTTCCAAATTGGAAGTTATGTACTCAGTGTGACCACCCTTGGAAGAAGCAAACTATCATGTCTGGGAACTGTTAGTGGTAACTTTTATTGTGACTCATAACAGTTGTCAAATTTGGGGTTATTTCTCTCATCAGCAACCCATAATAAAGGAATTTCCCAAATTTCAAGAATGTGGCTCAAAAAGGCACTTGATTGGTTGGAATCCAATGGTCTTTTGGCTACCTCTGAGGGAAGGCCCAAAGGTCAAATTTGTTTCTTTGCCCACCACTTCTTGTACTGAATGTCATTCAGTCACCTCTTCACACAGGACTCTAGTATATCAGAATGGTGCTGTGTTGCTGTAATAAATGCAAAGTCCTTTTTATAGATTCATCTGCATCATGGTGTGTTTAAAGGTTAGAATGTACAAGACGCAAAGAGGGAAGTTTTAAGCATGAGGTTTAATTTATAAGTGGAGAGGGAAGCCAGAGACTTGTGGGAGGAAAGTGGGGCCTAACACTGGAGAGCAGGTACTCTTGGAAGAAGGTAGCTCCTGTGTCTTGGAGCTATTCTGAGGAAGACCACTTTGCTCTCCACCATTTAGAAACAGCCACTAGCTGCCCGTAGCACGATTTGGCTTCCTCCACTGCCTCCTGCCTTGTGCCCATCTCCTGATATTCTGTGCTGTCCCAATCCCCATCCCGCAAGCCGTGAGATTCCATCCCAACCCATAGATTGCACAGCCAGCTTCTTCAGGGAGGTTGGGGGAAGAGGCTGTTTCTTTGTCCATAGTTTAGGCTGTTCTGGGGACATGTGTTCACGCCCACGCTGCCTGTCTCATTGCAGGAGCTGGGAAATGCCACATGTAACAGGTAACGCTAACTTTAAAAGAAGACTGTCGGCAATTTACTAGAGAAAGGAAAATCCTAAATCAAATGGCAGCCAAAAGTGGGATTCAAGCTGCTGCTTCCAGATTTCTTTGCCCTGATCAATTGTCTCACTTCTACTAGATGGCAGAGACCGGCAAAGATTCAAGGAGCCGCTTCTCCCTCCCATGGCTAACGGAGACTGGGACCAACCCACATGCCAGCAGGGCCTACGGATGCAGATGCTGCTGCTTTCTTGACAGAATACCTAAATCTAGCACTTTGCAACCCCTTCCCTGAAGACGGAGGGAGGGAGGGAGAGCTGGTACTCACAATGCTGTAACAGTCATCACATGACTATGCAGGACTTTAGAGCACCTAGTCAAGATTCCCCAGCAAAGAAAGGAATATGTGGGACTGAGATCTCATGTAAAAAAAAATTCCCTTGGGTTTTTTTTTTTTAAGTATGAGTCTTACTCATACCTTAACCTATCCGCAGTAATGCTCAAAGAGAGCCAAAGCCCGGGCTGAGAGGAAGCCAGTTGTCCAGCAAAGTCGAATTTTTATCAGTTTTGATTTGAACTTCTACAAGGCGCCCATGATGCGGGGGGAGGGTGAACTACGATTCAGCCATGCTGCTTAAAAGAAAATTTCTCAACAAAATGATATTGAGCTCGATTCTCCTTCCGGTTGTGAGGAGTCTTAACGCAAAGTCAAACGCACACCAGCTTTTCACAGGGGCCACGAGCAGTGATGTTAGCCACCTTTTTAAGCAAGTATGACAGACTGAAGAGTCCTGCTAGTTCAAATCCCATGAATAACGCTGAAGAGAGCGAGGAATGCTCATACTTAGCCCCAACAGCACTTTCCACAGTGTTATCCCCCTGTTACTGGTGGTGGAGAATGGGGCACAAAGAGGTTAAGTGACTTTTCCCAGGTCACACAGTGACTCAGTGGTGAAGGCTGGATAAAGGTCCCTCCGGGTTTAGTGGCTCTCATCTCTGTGCTAACTACACTATTCACTTTCCAAAAGCTTTGCTAAGGCTGCTGCTGAATCGCCGGAATTTGAACATTAGAAAGTAATGAAACCTTCAGGAAGGCTTTCCCTTTGTATCCCTAAGAAGAATGTTAGCATTACCAGAAGCCAAACCACAAACTTATGTAATGCAGGAAACACACACTTAAAGTAATGCCTCCCACACAACGCACCCAGACACCCTTACGGAGAGATGTCTTGAAGAACAGGCAAAGACAGAGTACTTCTGTGTCCCACACACTGATCCCTTGTGCAGCAGGACTCTGATTTGCACCGCTCCAAGTCCCTCCAGGCTGAATTTTTGTTGCTACTCCACAATTGAGCTTCCTGTCTGACTTGCTTTCAGTTTTGAAATTGAGTTTGCAATCAAAAAGTCTAATAACGTGGTTAATTTTCTAATGGGTCCTTGTTTGTCGTTGCTCCAGGAATATCAACTCTCACTGGGAGAGAAAAGGTGGGGGACGTAATATCTTTTTATTGGACCAACTTTGGTGAGAGAGACACGGTTTTGAGCTCTCCAGAGCACTTCTTCAGATGTGTGGAGCTAGAAGGCTTGTCTCTTTCACCAACCAAAGTTGGCCTAAGAAGATATAACCCCACCCACTTTGTGTCTCTCATATCCTGGCACCAACGCTACAAACAAATCACTCGGGCGGAGGAGGAGTTAACAACAGAGGTCAAAGTAGTAGATGTCATAACCTTCTCCAGATCTCCTACTCTGTCACAATAGAGTATGCAACATTATACAAAGTAT